ATTGATTGATTGATTGATTGATTGATTGATTGATTGATTGATTGATTGATTGATTGATTGATTGATTGAAGCGACAGAGTTCTGTGGAGGAGAATAAAGACACGATGAGAAGAATCAAGGTTCAATGATGGAGAAAAACAGTTCATTAAGTTTCTGACAGGTGGACAGGTGTGCTGCTACGACAGAAGAGATAAGAATATGAAAAGACGAGTTCAGACTAACAGTATAAAAATAATATTCCCTTATTATCTTTACAACAACTTTTTAAAAAAATAACTAGTGCAAGTTAAAAAAAACTACAGAGCTAAATCCCTTCCATTGCATACAGGCACTACGGAAGCATCGAGCTGCCACATGACATGAAATTATATTTAAATTGGATCGTTATAACGAGAAAACGTGTCGTTATAACGACTAAAATATGTCGTTATAATGAGGAAACTATCTTTTAAAAACAAGAAAACCATCTTGTTATATAAAGATAAGCATCTTGTTAAAACATGTTATGGTTTCTTCTGGTTTGTCACTTTCACTGAAGGTTATTTCCTGGATGATGTCATGGAGAACACGACTGAGTCTCACTATATACCTTTTTATGATGAAGAAATCTGAAAGAGGAACACATTTCTTGACTAAAAAATGACAAGTTAGAACTGAACGATGTTTTWGAAATAATATCGTCTGAATTCAGATTAGAGAGTGAATATTATTACGAGCTACTAGCTGCAACATCTGAGCACTACGTAGAGCTGTCACATGACATGAAATTATTTTTAAACTGGATCTCGTTCTAACTGGATAGTTTTGTTGTTTTAATGAGATCCAGTTTAAAAATAATTTCATGTCATGTGACAGCTGTGAGCAGCCTCAGAGGATCAGCTCCAGATCAGTTCCTGCTGATGATGTCATCAACTGAAGGACGACCTTTATTCATGTTTGTGCCACAAATACATGGTCCACTGACTGTGGCTCTTTATATTACCACCATCATATCCCTTCACAGAAACAACAAACAACAACAACAACAACAACAACAACAACAACAACAACAACAACATACACAAGTGTTTCAAGCTAACTGACATGGTTTTACCATCAGAAATAAAGACCAGTGTAAAAATGAGAGAAAACTTTCCAGCAGACTGTGGAACATGAAGACTGGAACAGTCCCAGCAGCCATGGGAGCTCTGACTGGTGAAGAAAGGACTGGAGAAACCCACCAACACGATTCCAGCTGGACAACATCAAGATTCTCCAGGTCCAGAAGATCCTGGGAACAGAAAACATAGTGAGGAAGGTTTCATTTCTGAGGTTACCTCATCTCAACTCTTATAGGACCATGGGCTGGTCCCAGCTCTGAAGCAGTGTTTCCCAAAGCAAGGTGGGGTCTGAAACATCAAGGTGGGGTCTGAAACATCAAGGTGGGGTCTGAAACATCAAGGTGGGGTCTGAAACA